AGTAGTCACTCCTCTGTGTTCTGGAAAGAAAACACCTCGAACTGCCCGGGTTAGGGCCAACAAGGAGAACTTGGACCTCAATGGCAGCATCCTGAGCCGTGGGTACTCTGGCTCGACCCCACGCCAGCACAACTGCAGCATTAAGTCTGTTGCCAGCACCTATTCTGAGTTTTCGCAAGAACTTTCAAAGGCTTCCAGATCTGATGCTACTTCTCGAATTCTCAATTTAACCAACATCCAGTCCTGAGAATTCTTGTCCTGTTAGCCACCTGTGGCTTCTGTGCTTAGACTGATGTATACAGGGGGTGACTTAATATGTTTTCATCAGTTCAAATGTTTGAAACAACCTTGGGCAGACTCTGTTAACTGCACCTAACTTAGACATGAATATGACAGATGGAAAACCTTCTCGGACGCAGTGAGTCCACAGAGACTTGTTTGGGTCAAGAAACCCCTTAAAGGCTAGTTATGATAGTTAAGTTTTAACATCTTGTAGCTTATCATTTTTCTCTACCCCATAATTCTACTTAAAGAATGATCAAGGGTTTGTCTTATTTCAATATGATACTGGAAAATGAAAAAAATGATTATGCCCAGTTCTGGAGTACAGGGGTATGAGACATAAAGTAATTCTGGCTTATTGACTTGGAATTAACATCTAAAAATATATATATATTCATTCCTGGATATTAGATTAATGCTGTAGCTCTAGAAGCTTGGATCTTACCCAGAGGCCTGTGCCTGGCCACATGAGCCCAGTGAGGCCTGACCTGCTGCCATCTCAGTAGCAATTGTTTCTGTAGTGCAATCTCTGAGATGTGTGTGAAAAAACATGCTTGTCTGACCTGCTCAGTTTTTCTCCAGTCTCCCATCCATGTACTCACTAGGCTGAGTCTATTCCCTGTAGATGACAACCAAATAGGCTATCTGGGTGGGTTGGACCATTTCTGTCACGGACTCAGCAACTTTGCACATCCACAAGTTATCTGTGTAATTGAGTCCACAGTGAGGCTTTCTTTGCCTACCCAATTCATCACTACTCTTCCTGAAAGCACTATTATTTATTCTTTCTCGGTTTGTGCCAGTTCTACCAACATATTAAATGATTCTTTAAAACTTGGTCTGTATCAGTATGCTGTTTACATATATATATATATATATATATATATATATATATATATATATATATATATGAAATATAGTTACCTTTCAAAAAAGGAAGAAAAATTCTCAAAATAAATAATAATTGAGAAATAAAGACACAGATATCAATAGGGCTGTAATTATTGGACATTAAAATAATTTTCAATTTGTCTTTATTTTGCATACTATGTGTTAAAACCAATTTAGTTAGAATGTCATTCTGAAGATTTTTTAAAGGAAATATTACTCTCAAAGCATATGTTAGCTGACGAAAGTTAACTTGTTTTAAGCCCAACAATCCCAGATTAATACTAAGTTGGCATGGACACCAGAAGATGGTGACTTCTCCTGCTTATTTAACTACTTCCTAGTAGAAAAGAGAAAAACAAACTCCTCCATTGGCCACAGTACACTGTGCCTCAGAACCCCAGTGACTTGATTTACTGGATGTTACATATGTGATGATGGGTTTAGGTTCTGAGACCATTAGAGTTTAGGAAGCTGAATGTTACTGTGATTGGATTAACAGACATCTAAGGCTGTTAGTAAAGCCTTTGGGTGTGCACATGAGGGCTCTGGCCTAACCAACTGTAAAACTGCAGACTACAGAAGGGTGGATCTGTAGGACTAACATAGGAACTAGTTAGATGAAGTTGACTGCTGAGGGTATACCTTATTTTTTTTTAAGATTTATTTATTTAAGGTATATGAGTGCTCTGCCTGCCTGTACACTTGCAAGCCAGAAAAAGGCATCAAATCTCATTACAGATGGTCTTGAGCCACCATATGGTTGTTGGAAACTGAACTCAAGACCTCTGAAAGAGCAGCCAGTGCTCTTAGCTTCTGAGCCATCTCTCCAGCCTCTGATGGGGTACCTTTAAAGGGTATATCTTGCTCCTATCCTCTTACCAGGACTCTTCTTTGCCTCAGGGCAGCAAAGAAATGAGTTACAACAAGTTGACTTCATGATGTTGTGTCTCGCCATAAGAAAAAAAGACATGAAGCTAGCTACAACAGACTAAAGAATGTGACGTCACAAGTCCATGTACATCTTTCCTTTTCGATAACTGCTTCCCTCAAATATTTGCCATTGAGACCAAAAACAGAGAATGTAATCCATAAACTTTTTCCAGTTCTGGAAGCTATATTGCTAACTGAAGTAAGGCATTGTTTGCTTGTATTTTTGTTTTCTATGTTTTATGCTGATAAGTAATTATGTAGCAAAAAATCAATTAAATAAATACTTCTATTAAATAAATATTACCATATTAATTAAATATATTTATGTGTGCCCTGGTGCATACACTCATATACAGTCTGGTATACATGTGTATATATCTCATGTTTATGCTAGTGCATGCTGGTTCATTTTGAGTGTGTTTGTGTGTGTATGTGTGTGTGTGTTGGCGCAGTGTATGTGTGGCTGCACATGTATGCATTTGCATCTGAAACCTAGAAGACAATTGTTGGATACCATGTCTAGGACAATACTTACCTATTTTGGTTGAGGCAGGGTCTCTCATTACTCTAGGACTGTATAAGTAGGCAAGGCTGATTACTAACCCGCAGGAATATGCCTGTCCCAACCCTGCTCAGCACTGCAATATAAATCTATTGCAGCACTCCAGACATCTCTAGATTATTATTTATTTTATAATTTTATTCACTTTACATCTCTATCACAGCCCTCTCCTCTTGTCCTCCTAGTCCTACCCTTACAAATCCCTACTATCACTGCCCCTTCTCTTCTCTGAGGAGAAGGGGGTGCCATTGGGTACCACTGCACACAGGGGCATCTAGACCTAGCAGGACTAGGCACATCCTCTCCCACTGAGGCCCAACAGGCAGTCCAGTTAGGCGGAAGGGGATCAAACGGTGGGTAAGTAAGACTGAACCCCCGACTCTCGCACCACTTGTTAGAGAACCTACATGAAAAACAAGCTGCACATTTGCTGCAAATATATGGATTATTTTTAAAAAATAATCTGAATCCAGGGCAAGCACTTTAATGACTATATTCTCTCTTCAGTCTAATATGATTTTGAATGAAGTCATAGATACATAGGAACTATGAATATCAGGGTTTTCTTGTTTTAATTATTATTAGAGTATCTAAAAGCCCTCTGAATCTTAATAAGAAATTTTGAAATTATAAATATTATCAAAGAGATGTCCAAGATTTTTTATTGTCTGACTATATAATTGATATATTTATCATCTATACAATATCAATTGTATAAATGACATTTAAACAGTTTAAATTGTATAAAATATGCTAATTGTATAAAATGAGCTAATGGTGGAGTTTTACTATATATTGAAAAGATTAAATTTTAGAAATTTTAAGTAGTAATGAGATGATTTTATAAGTGAAAAGTTTTTGAAGACTAAATCATACTTTTGAATGATAAGTAAAATACTACGAACTCTAAGTACATTGGACACTCAAAGCCAATGCTGCATATTTCATACTCTTGAAAGTCTTAATTGCTTTCAAGAACCATTTACACACATTAGCTCAAAAACAGTATTGATCTCTCACAACCAGTCAAATAGTCCAACAAAATAATTGTACTTATATTAGTTTTATATCAGCAGATTCTAGAATATAAATGACTCATTTTAACCTTTGGTAAAAACACATTCATTTTTAGCATTATAATTTATCCATATATTAAGAAAAAAATGGTATCTGGTGATTTTCTAAAAATTCAATTAAGATCTTTGTAAAGGTGGATTTTTCTATGACCTCTGTCCTACTTACTATGGAAAAAATCCAAATAAAACTAAATTTTGAAGCCCAAGATATGGCCTCATTTTGTCAAATCATTTATACTCCTATGAATGCCATGCAGTAGTTATCAATACTTTGAAACACAAATGAGATTTTCATAATTTTACTTAGCCTGTCACTAATCATGGAACAATTCAGTTGTTCAAAGGACCAAATGATCCTTAATGGACAGCGTTCTTAACTCAATAATACAATATGGTGATGAAGAAAAGCCCTATCTATCACTGTATAGCCTATATTTAGTATTAGTTGTAATAACATAGATCCTTGTATAAAAACTACAGAACTCTAAATAATAATTTTAGGTATAACTATCTTGAACATCCGAATGGACACTATGGTATATGTCACTCTGAGTCCAAGGCAAACAATATAAACTTTAAACTTAAGTTCACTTTAAGAATATCCCAATATTCTAATTTTTTATCCAGACTACTGTACAACTTTATGAATAACAACCTCAATGATTACATTTTTCATACAGTTAATTTTCATGTTACATTTAAAAACCCTAACCCTAGCAGGCAACAAATAAATTTATCTATTTGTAGTGTAGGCCTTCAGTTTGGAGAATGAGTTTAGGAGAGAGAATTTGTGATTTTAAGTTGTAATAATTGCACCATTAAGTAGTGTTGCTAAAGGAAATATAAGTAGAATAAATACTGCAGATTCTTCCATGTAAACCAACATGTGATGTAAAATCTCTCCATATAGACCAAAAGGCTACAATACCGTCCCATGTCATACATGATGCGGGCAATTGCTCCATGAAAATTCCAACTTTCAGCCTTTAGGTAGTAATAAAACAAAGAAACAAAACAACACTTCAAATAATGTATCTTAAGAAGAGTGAGATCACTGAAATGTACAGGCATAATTTCAGCACTAAAGGAGCTGAAATATTACCCTACTTCATGGGTAACAAAATAATACGAAAGGCAACCAACCGGGTAAGAAGAATAAACCAGCTCACCTCACATCTGTGGGTAACTATAAAATATAAAATATTTGCTAAGGTTAAAATACTGAAAAATATTTTGGGGGGAGTGTGATTATCTTTTACCTTGAAAGGCAGTGGCTCTTCAGTCAGAGGGCTGATGGGAAGTGAGGTGGTACTGCTGGAAGGGCTCACATCACTCTGCAAAGAAAAAACCCTTGTGTTAAAAACTCCATGTTTGAAACCATTTCCAACATTCCTAATCCCAAACCTAAATGTCTTGTTAAGATAAACAAGTAAATATGTATAAAGAAAAATTTAATTTGGATTATGTGGAAAATTGTATAGAAATTAAACAATATTCATGTATATTTTAATTAATATCATGGCTACCTTTTCTGTTAAGCAATATGTAACATTTTCACTTAATTTAATAGATTTACCTCTTCTCTGAAGATAAAATTATAATGAATCATTATAATGTCATGACAATGGCTTTCTGTCTGATATTTAACCATGAATCACATTTTTCCCTTTGTAGAGATTTTAACTATTGTATTTAGTTTAAGCACATTATAGAAAACACATACAATTAATACAACTGAAATTACAGAAGTAGAATTTTTAGACCTCCTATTCCTAGACTCTGACATTTACAGACTTTTATTTGGCATTCTTTATTAAATATAATATTTTATTAAATACTTGAGAGTTTCATGCATGTACTCACTGTACTTTGATCAAGTTTGCCACTCACATTTCCCACTAACATCCCAAGTTCACCCCGACTCTCCCTACCAGCATTATGTCTTTTTCCTTTTTTTTTTCCTTTTATAATCCATGGAACCATATCTGTGCTTGCAATATATTCAAGGGTGTTGGGACATCCACTGAAGTGTGTGTAACCTACCAGGGGCCGAAGTCATAACAAATGGACTCCAAATCTCCAGGTAGCAATCAAATATTATTAGCTCCTCAGCTATGAGTGGGACCTTATGAGTTCTTTGCTAGATTGTTCACAATCTTGACCTTGTGCAGGGAACCACAGCTACTTTGAGTCCATGAATGCAGTGGCTTTATCATCATTGGGTGATACTGTTTCACCCTGGCTTTCCTCAACCTCTGACTTCTATAATCTTTTAATGCCTCTCTCACAATTATCCTTGAGCTTTGAAAAAAAGGAGAGTACAAATTCTATTTGCAGCTGAACACATCACTGATACACTCATGCTTACTCACTGCACTTTGGCCAGCTGTGTTTCTACTTTTACCTATATTCACTGCTCAATGAAAAATATGTTATGATTGAAAGCCATACTAATCTCAATGGAGATAGAGATGGAGATAAGAATTTGGAGGTTAGTTAACTGTCATGTCTGTTTAGCAGAATCATAGAAGTAGGTTTACCCATTTGGTCTATGAGCTCCTGGCTATACATTCCTGGATACCCATGGAGTGCTACTCCTGAGTTTCCTCCACTATAGCAGACCTTAAACTTAACGAGAAAGTGATTGGTTACCTATATAACATTGTGTCACTATTACAAACATGAGCGTATCTTGTCATCCTGATCATTACTATGGCTTGATGGGTTTACTTGTAGGTAAGAATGTTGATGACTTATTTTCCCCAGTACCTTGAATAGCACCTTTCAATGCTATGACAGCTAGCTAGCAAAGAGGAAGCTGCCTTTCCAATATCAGTTTTAGTTCTCAAGATCTTGTAACTGAAATGTGAGGTATTTTCAACAATATAATATTACAATTAAGTTTTGTTGGAAAACCAAGAGCAACGGCAGTATCCTGCATTGTATGGAATGTCTTGGGACATTTCTAAATAACAGTAGGAAGAGAGGGATCTTAGGGGTGGCACTAGTTATTTTACTTGGCAATCTTTGACTTAGTCCTATTGTAGGTTATGTTCAATTAATAGTTTAAAATGTTTACATAGATATACAAACACACACATACACACACCACACACACACACACACACACACACATATGTGTGTGTGTGTGTGTGTGTGTGTGTGGCTGTGATGCACTCATGGATGTGGATTCCGTTGGGCTGAGTTGTGGGTCCTGTGTCTGCTGCTAGAAGGGGCTGGGGCCATGACTCAGGGGGCAGAAGCATGGGAAGTTGACTGAGTTCACTCCACGCTGGGGCTGGGCAGATGCTGGGCTGTGAAAAGCTGCATGACAGGGTGGAGAGAACACAGTCTGAGACCCCGAGTGGGCCAGAGCTCTTGAGTTGAAGATTTCTGGGCCAGAAGGCAGCCACAGACCAGCTGGTCTCAGTCCTTGGGCTCCCAGGCACCACTGAGAGGCCTCAGAAGGACCGAGATGGGGCATACAGGCTGGACCAACCCGCAGCTGAAAGGGACTAGAGGGAGAAGCTCCAGCAGTGCCCTGAAGGTAGATGAGACTTTTGATTGAGTCTACTTGCTTGTCTGGGTCATGGCTGGGTCTCTGTGGATGGAATGAAGAGAGGTCTTCAGCATGAGGCTAGGCAGTAGCTCTGTAGTTGATGACCTTCTCCACAATTCCCCACGGTGGGCCCCAAAGACTAGAGGCAGTCCATGGTCTTGAAATGTTTATTGTCATGGTGGAAAGTGGATAAAGCTGCATTCTGTGTTCTCAGGGTGGGCCTGAGGTTAAATACCTTTTTCAAGGAGGTGGGTCTGGGAAGGAATGCTTAGTTGGCTACACTCTCTGGAGTTTAGGTATCTCATAAATGTGGAAATGTTTTGAGGCTCTGCAGCCTGTAGTCAAGATACTCTATCTGTGAAGGGGCTAGTAGGGGCGGCATTGTCCTACGGCCTGAAAGGCACAGATTGATGGAAGTCTTTGGCCTCATGTCAGGAGCCTGGAGTCTAGGAGTACAGCGAAATGCATGACGTCCCTTGCAGGGAAACCTGTGAGATCTCCAATCGGCTGGGTCTCTGGCCATCTCTAGCCAGTGCTCAACCAAAAACCATGCTGTCCTTTCAGGATCCTACATGTATAAGGCTTATAAAATTACAGGTATCTAGTTTGCTTTTACAAACATCTCTAGTGCTAGTTATTTCTTCTGAAACCATTTCTGACATCATCATACCTGCCCCCCACCCAAAGGCTTTATGGACAAATCTTACTGTTTCAGAAAGTAAAACTGAATTGGAAGACAAATCACCCTATCCCAGTGGTGCTTTTAATTTGGAGGAGGAGGTCAGAAAAGAATTATCCTTCAAAAGAGAAGAAAATAGGGGGATTATATATCAGGTATTAACTGGAACAGAAACATATTTGGACCTTATGGCACAATTAATAACATTAAAAAGTAAATTTGGTGTTTATCTCAAACCTTGGTTCTACTGCCTAGAAGAAGTTATCTTCTTTTACTTTGGAAGACATCTGCCAGAGCAGAGACAAGACTTACACTGACTTTTGCCTTGTCTAATGGGTGTAATCACACAAATAATTTCTAATTAAGATGTAGCAAATATATTGTTGAGGCAATTACCTTACAAAAATGCCAATATAACCTACAGAGACCTGCTTAAGCCTGCAGAACATTATGGAAATATTACAGATTTTGTCTGCTTCTGTGGGAACTTAAATCTACTCCACATGCAGCATCTAAAGTTACATCCAAAGCCTTTCAATCTTCTGGGCTGTATCTTTCCCATGTTGTAGCCACATTTTCTCTGGGGTGATTGCCCTTTGCAGCCAGACTTGTTTATAGAGGCTTCACATACAGCTACCTTGCCTCACAAGAGATCTAAATGATTAGTTGCAACCTTGATATTGGGAATCACACCCTTAATAGATGTGATTTCTAGTTTTGTCTTCTTCAATGTATCCTTAGTTAAATAAATTCACATAGCACATCATGTAGATCAGTCATCCAAATATGTGTAAAGAGCACTGATGATCGAAGAGAATATTGACAGGGAACTTCAGGATGAGATTAATGCTTTAGAAGAAGTAGTTCTATTTATGGGAAATCAAATTCAAAATATTAAGATCAGGCTTTCAGTGTAATACCATTAACTATTCTGTTGAATTTGCATGAGTCCCTTGAAGTATAATACCTTTGAACATGACTAGTCTAAAATCTAGTCTCATTTAAAAGGGGTTTGGAACAATTCTAAGTGGGCTTTGGATATGAATTTCTTACATCATAAGATCATGCATGTTAGTAATTGTATAGTGGGATCTACTTCTATTGAGGAAATGTCTGTAGGTTTTTTTTTTTTTTTGTGCATGAATACATTCTTTAGTCTCCCTGGATGAATTTGCTAATAGAGTAATTGCAGTTGGTTTATTCTTATTGGTTTTGTTTCTCCTTGTTGTCTGCATCAATCAAGTCAAGGGCTCAGTAACTACTCAGGGTCAACATTTCCACTCTGAAATTGAAACAGAAAGGGATGCTGTTTCCTGCTTGGTCAAATAAAAGACAGAATGACATGGTTCCAGCCCTAGGAACAGAGCCAGCAAGGCATGGGCCTGAATGAGTGGTGATGGTTGTCTTAAGTGTAAGGCTTATTTGTATAATGATGTAAAAATTTCCATGTTCCTGCTTTGAGGAATGTCCTCTCTGCTGAGGTTAATGACTACATGATAATCAGAGACAGTCAGAGTCTGGGAGAAGGGGTATGTCTAATGTCTCAGCAAAATGATAGAACACTGTCATAAGCACTGACAGTCCTTATGGCTGTGGGAAAGAACGCTGAAAACATAAATTCAAAAAAATATAATTTCTTAACTATGCAAAATATAAGGATGCAATATTAGTTGCATAAGGAGTTTCACAGCTCTAAAAGAATAGAGGCAGCTGGATCATGAGCCAGCTTGTCAGAAAGATAGTAAGGAGATAAAGAGATTCAGGGAGTGGAGGATTAAAGCCCAAGATTCCAACTAGGTTTTTGTTCGTTTTATGCATATAAAGGGAGACAGATCCCTGAGCTCAAGGTCAGCCTGAAACAGGAGATTAGATCCAGGCCCAGATATGATAGGAATGGTAATATCAGGGTGAGGTCCCTCCCAATTATCTTATTGCCCATGCTAATGCTTGCTGTCTCTTTATAAGAATCAAGGGGTTGGGTTCACAGGATTCTGATTCTATTATGCGATCATGGTAATCTGGGATAATGACTGAATTGATATGTAAATAAAAGACTTGGCTTTTGATCTGTAAGAAATGAACTATCCAGAGAGCTT